TCTCTCTCTCTCTCTCTCTCTGTGTGTGTGTGTGTGTGTGTGTGTGTGTGTGTGTGTGTGTGTGTGTGTGTGTGTGTGTCTGTGTGTGTGTGTGTAGCATGTGTGTACCACATGCGCTGCGCACGAGCACGACACGTCATGCTCGCGCAACTCCGACTAAACAACCGTCGGCACACTGTGAGCAATGAGCAAGACGCGGGAGGCGATACAAACGCGACGGGGTAAAACCATTCGGTATGTCCAATTGGTGAAGGTAACCATTGGGCCGTTTATCGGGTGAAGTAGGCCGATCCTGCGCTAACGGCGATTTTAAGGTGACGAAGGGGGGTGGAGGTGCTTCGCCGCTCACGGGGGGCATCAATCAAACCATTCATTTGAAAAAAGTACAAACCAATCAGGGAGAGAAGATAATTCGGAGAACCAAATATTGGCGGACGCAGCGAAGGTACACACATAATTACTACGGCATAGATGCGATCAAAACGTTATTTTATTGGGGCATTATTCAGGACAAACCAATAGGATGGTATATGACAAAGCATTCAGATTTAACAGATCGATTGACAGAGCAGGTGTTGAAAACAATTACTTGCTAAAGCATAGATGCGATCGAAACAGTATTTCAATGGGACACACCAATCAGGATGCCATACGACAAAGCACTTTTTCGTCAAAAAGCACGGAGAAGTCATCCATAGCATAGAACCAGGGAAGGGAGAGCAAGAGGGCAAGGGAGAAAGGAAGGCAGAGGGAGAGAGGAAAGCAAGAGGAGGAGGGAAGGGAGAAAATAGAAAGGAAAACCAAGTAATCTCGATGAAAGCCAACTCTTAAGAGGACAAAGATAGTATGATCAGTTCATATTTGCAAAAAATTACTACTATACGTCACACTGCCCATTCCGTATCCCTGCCATCAAGTCATTCATGTGGTCCCCAAGGCTTGGAAGGAAGGACTGGGGAATAGAAAGGGGCGGCGGGGGAAGAGAAAGAGAGAGAGAGAGAGGGGAAGGGGAAAGGGGGAAGGGGGAGGGGGGAAGGGGGAGGGAGAAGGGAGAGGGTGGAGGTTCATATCCCGCTTCAGCTCTCTCCTCCAGATCCGTCGCATGTCTGTATCTGCGTGGATCATCTCGCCGAATTGCGGGAAGGGCGTGGCAGCTCCCTTAAGCGCTTTTCTGCCCCATGCCACGTGGGGCGTCATCAGAGGGGGGGACATCTTCCAGAATCTCTGGAAGGCGGGGGGGTGGTAGTGGTTGGGTTAGGGGTGCATTGAGATAGGGATGATGCGGGGTTGCGTGATCGAGGGATGAGGGACGGGGCACGGGGGAGGGGGAGGGACGGGGCACGGGGGAGGGGGAGGGAGGGGGCATGCGGGAGGGGTTGTGGGAGGGAGTAGATGAAGTAGAGGAAGGAAAGAAAGGAGAGAAACGAAAGGAAGGCCAAAAAGGCGCATGTCGAAGCCTCCGTCATAGTCCTATGCTCCATCGCGCCGCTCCTCACTGAACACTACGTCTAGCTAGCAACCGCGCCCACCACCGACGCCTAGCACAAAGAAGAGGCAGCAACAGCTGGCGAGAAATATGGTTGCGAAGCAGATCGTGCAACCGATCAATAGAGCAAAGCGCCTAGCCGATAAGTGGAGGAAAATTCCTTCGGACAAACAAGCGGCCAGCATTGCTACAGCTATGGCGAGGTTGGGAAGAAGGGCGAGGAAGAGGAGGAGGACGAATGCGGCGTTTCGCGCTGGTGCAGAGGGGGGTAGGCCGGGCAAAGCGCGTTCAGCAGGGCAGGTAGCGTCGGTATGCATGTCGCTTGGCCCTGGAGTACTCGGGCGTCGGGTTACGAGGGCAAAACCGGGAAGGTGTCGACCGCCAGGAACGTTACCACTTCCTCCTCGTTCCTCTGCTCCTCATCTAGGTCCCAATCCGCAAAGAAGTCCATGTCGTCCGTCGATCCCACCACACTCCGCGATCGTGAGAAACACGGCCTCCCCGTTGTTCGTATGCTGGACGCACGGTGTTCAGATGAATAGAACCCCTGCGTACTGTTTAGATATAGCCGCGGTGCGGGTTCCTAAACAACATCCTTCCGATGCAAGCTATCGCCACTGTCCATGCATTCACGCACGCCTATCCTACGTACAAGAAAAAAGAAACAAAGAAAGAAAAAAAGGGGGGGGGGGGAATTGAAAACTGAAAGGACTAAACGAATGGTAGGTCGATCAGAACACCGAATTCGCGAAGTCAGACAACCACTGCGTATGGCGGGGTGACGATCCTGAAGGTCCTCGTAGCCTGTGAGTTATTCGTCACCATCCGAGAGCGAGCTACTCTTCTTATCTAAAAAACGGCGCACGAGGGTTCAATTCTCATTTGGCAGGGGTCGCGCTCCCAGCTACTCCGTAGATCCAATCGTAAAAAAGGAACCCAGGGAAACATAGAAAAAGGGAAGGGGGGAAGGGGGGAGGGGGGAGGGAAGAAGAGACAAAAAAAGAAAGAAAAATGACGAAAGAACAGAAAAGGAGAAAAGAAAAACAGAAAAAAGAAAAAAGAAAAAAAGGAAAAAGAGAAAAAAAGAGAGAAAAACAGAAAAGAAAAAGACAGAAAAAAGAGAAAAGAAAAAAAGAAAAAAGAAAAAAGAAAAAAGAAAAAAAAGAAAAAAGAAAAAAAGAAAAAAGGAAAAAAGGAAAAGAGGAGGAATTAGAACGAGGAGCAAGGAGACAAGGAACAAAAGAAAAAACGAAGGGGACTCAGAGGAGAGGAGTGTATGCATCCGTCCGAAGCGCCCTCCAGCCCTGTGAGTCTGCAGACTCAGTTCCCATTGCAGCTTATGACCCCTTCATCATCACCTGTATGCGTGTGTGGGGGGGGGGGGGGGGGGGGGGGGGGGGGGGGGGGGCATGCATTATGCCCACCGGGGTCATCATGATCATCACCAAGAGCAGAATCATCATAATCAACACCTCAAATCAGCAAGAATGGTGGCTTCATCACAGCATCGCGATCATGATCATGATCAGCAAGGTCAGCACATGGTCAGTGTCAGCACCAACATGATGAAGACGAGCAGCAGCATCGCCATGGAACTCGATAATCGTTGTCATCAGCAGGAGCAGCACAACAGTTTGGGATCAACATCGCCGCATCACAATCATCGTGTCCGGGTGCGGGTGTGTACATGAAATCGAATTTTTTGGCACCTCGAAAAGGCACGTGGAAGGCGTGCAGCCACATCTGCAAAACAGAGGGACGAGAGAAATTGCAGACGAGAAAAGACAAAGCACACGGGTGTGTGCGCCTCAAAACAAAAAAAAAAAAACAGCGACAATCCCAAGGAGAAACCGGCTCCCTTGCGCAGCCCCGATATCGGCAACCCCCCCCCAAAAAAAAAACACAAGCTGGCCTACCAGACAGCCCAGATTCCTCTTGCCACTTGGGTCCAACAGGCCGCCGGCGACCCGCTTCTTGATTTGGATGGACGGAAAGAGGGAGGCCAAGTGAGGGAGGGAGGCAGGGAGGAGGATGCAGGGAAGGAGGGAGGGAGGGAGGGAGGGAGGGAATGTGGGTGGGAAGGTGGGCGAATGGATGGATGGATGGACACTGAGGTGCTGGAGGCACTCCTCAAGACAACTCAGAGAAAAATTGCTGCCACAAGTCAGAAAATGATCCAGCTCGCTGCAAAACATTTTACCCACGGGATCGACAAAACGGCAATTGAGACGATAAGACCAAGTTCCACTCTTTTGGTGCCAGTCGTTCCAGATGAGAGACGATAAGCGATTCCACTCCTTAACAAATCCAACCCAACTACTCCCCCAGTGGTGGACCAGGTTCTTTGTGACTACCTTCTTCTCCCCAATACAATGCACACTGATTATGAATGCAAACAACTTATCATTCTGGTACAATATACTGTCACGACGAGGGGTGTGCTGTGGGTTCGTGGGAAGAGAAGAGGGTAGTGGCCAGATGGCTAGGCGAAGGAAAGCAGGTAAGTAAATCCTTCAAGTTGAGAGGGAAAATGGTACAAGGAGTTCCAAGTTAGGATGTCTCATGCTTTAAAAAAAAAAAAAAAAAAAAAAAAAGGGAGGATGAGTCATGCTTACCCTCTGGACGGTCACCCCACGCTTGTCTTTGGTGCCAGAGAACCCAAATGACTTGCCCTGCACCCATGGCCATAATAGAATCGGCCATATTATTCAGCGATGGAAACATATGACGGATACATCATCAGCCAGTCAACAACAGCAATAGACTGGCTGAGGACCTGAGTATTGGCAAACTCGTCAAAGTACCGGGTCGCAAGCACCTCTGCGTCACAGTGGCTCCGAAATTCATTACTTGACTGTATTCATCCCAGGCGATTCCGAACACTAACCAGAGTGGAGCCAAATGCGCACAACCTCAGCATCGATCGATCGATCGATCGAGCAAATGAGAATTGAAACTCCGGATTTGTTTACGGAGAGCAGCATGTGTGTACGATTCCGACACATGGCTACGGGAAGTCAAAGTGAGTACTTTTTTCTCGTTTTCAGCAACAACCCCCTACGGGGGGTCGACGAAAATGTTGTCATCGTTTTCAGCAACAACAAATGGAAGCTGGTCGACAAGAACGTTGTCGAGGAGGGGGAGCATCTGGCCATCATTGCAACTAGGTTCACTGCATCTCTAAATTAGCCACATGACAGCCCCCCTACCGTCTACAGCTTACAACTTGCTCCGTCTTTGTAATTGGGACGCTGGACCCGGTTTACAGCTGGTGCAGCTGCCCACCAATAAGATTGGAGGCTTTGGAGCCATCTATAACAGGGAACCTATTATTAGAGGATGCTTTTATCACCCCCAATAAAAATAGGCAGCCCACGGATGTCTTTGTCAAAAAAAAAAAAAGGATGCTGCCAGCAGCTAACTCGCTGTATGGCAGACGAGTAAGGAAACAGAACGTGTTTCCGAAATTCGACAACGAATGAAGTGTGCTGTTCTTGCCTCCTTTCCACATGTGATTTTTTTTCAGTGAGGGGGGCAGAATACATGAGTGGGATGACGAGTCGGCAGCATATGTTTTTTTTCTTTTTCTTTTCTGAATGAGATGTGCGCACATGGGCAAACCGCTCCCAGCAATACATTGTGTGCGACGTTGAGAACGCTCACAAGGGAACGATTTGCCAATGACGAAATCTGCTTCAAGAAACAAAACGAGACAAATCATTCCCGACCCGCTCCTTGCACACAAAGCATGTGCCCGCTCTTACAGAAATCATTCCCCTCAAACTCTCAGGAAGGCAGAGTCAAATCTCCTCTTCCGGCTCTGGAGCGGGTCGGCAATTAACACTTTTTTTTTTCTTGTTTCATCTAGTACATTGCACAATGTGAGACGCCAGTCGGCACAAACCCATGCAGGTGCAACAATGTTCAGACCTCTCTGCATTAACCACACGGCAACCATGTGTATGACATTAATAACACCACCACCATGTTGCCTTCTTGTCTCTCCCCCCTCTCTCCTCCCCTTGCACGTAATTGGATGAAAACCCAGTTGAACCGGCTCCGCATAAATGCCAGTTCCATGGCCACACACCTTTGCCGATACGGACAATCCTAACACCAAAATTATGCACGTTCTGCCGAACCACACCAATATGGCTCGATAAACAAACCATTCATGTTCTGCCAACCACAGCACAATGCATCACAACTGCCGCCACCAAGTGTCACTGCCCTTCGCACAGCCATCCCGCAATGCACAGAGCACACAGCCAATCAGTAATGAGCAGTCGGAGCTATCATCTTCACCCGAATCGAACGCCCGGTCATTATTGCTGTATTTGGTGCAACTTTCAGTCTAGATACAGTGATAATGACCGGGTGTTCTATTCGGGTGAAGCCGGTAGTAGCACTACTAAGAGCAACAGCCATTTCGAACTTGAAATCCAACAAACAGTCTCGGATTACACCTCGCCCCCCCGCCCACCCCCCACCCCAAAAAAAAAGTCACACAACATAAAGAGCCTCACAGCAACAACCCTTTCCAACTCAGAAATAGAGGAACAGGGAACAGAGTCCTACCTGCACTCGAAGCATTTGTCCGACAACATACAGAGCCTCCTGCAAGTCCTTGTTTTCCTTGTAAAGGTGAAATCTGTGCACAATAAGAAGTTAAGAACACATCAACACAAAAGACGACAAAGACCATGAACTACCTACTACCTATGCAGCAATAAATAGCTGAATTCAAAATCACGATTAACCGTCCAATTATTAATTTACCACATTAACTATGGCATTATACTATTGCAAAATTTATTAGCGTCTATCCACGAGTGGGCGACATGCAAGCCAGCTGACCCTCTTTGGGATAAGGAAGGAAAATCCCACAGCTCCAACTAAACAATGAATATCCTTCAATTCAATCCTTATGTCTGCAACAGGACAACTGTTTCCTTTTTCGCATTTTCCATCAAGTCTGTCTGGCATCTAGTACAGACTTGTTCACAGCTTATAGCTTCTTCTTTTTTTTCTTTTTTCTTTTTTCTTTTTTTGTGTGTGGGGGGGGGCGGGGGGAGGAATAAAATGCTCCAGTCTTATAGGTTAGATCGTTACTAAATGAAAAGGTTATAGAAGGGGGGGGGTCATTCTTGAGTTTTGGAAGTATGGATGCTGATTTGAAGATCACAACCAGACGTCCATCTTTTTTTTCCCAGTCTCCCCTTTTCTCCCCCCCCCCCCCTGCCCCCCCCCTTTCCCTTTCTCTCTCCATTCTTTTCCTCCTCCTTTTCCCCTTCCCCTAGACTGCCATCTTTTAATCCTTTGATCGATGTATTCATCCGGGAACATCAATCAGCAAACTCATGCATCTGATATACAACCTCGATACATCACAGTTAAAGAGCTTTGGTCACCTTGGTGGTTACTGATTGACAAGATAAAGAGTTTGTAAAAAGACCATTCTTCCTACCATCTTCCCCCGAATAGAACGCACTGTCATCATCACTGAATCTAGACAGATAGTTGCCCCAAATACAGGTATAATGACCGTACATTCTATTTGGCAGAAGACGGTAGGTTGAAAGTGTGGATGTCATTGGGTGCTATGGTTGATTGTGACAAAAGGGAGGTCGAACACACCTACTTTGGACCTACGACGAGCATCATTCGACAAGCTCGTGTCTCTTCATCAACCCTCGCTATCTACTCCTTCTCTTGTTTGCTTCTATGACCCGTTTCGCTCTTGCTGTCTTGCAATTCTTTTTTTTTTTTTTTTTGCAAAAGAGCCCTTGTGTAAGGCTGTCTTGCAATTCTTATTCTCGTTCTTTCACTGGACATAACACGGCGGTGTAGAAGAGAGAGTGAGGTTATTTAGATGTTTACGCACCCTTCCATTTTATTTAGATGTTTAGTATTTGTTTACACAGCCTTTTATTTTATTTAGTTGTTTACGCAGCCTTTCATTTTCCAATGATCGCCGTCCGCATCTTGTTGAACGCATACTCGTCTCAATACTACCAACAAACAAAAAGTACTTCTGAGTCAAAAGCCGGGAAATGCAAACAGCAGATAGACTTGCCAGTTTTTCACAGACAGGAACTGTTTTTGAAATACAGAGCCGTGTTTGAATCCAAGTAAGACTCTGGATGAATGAAAATTATGGATTACCTTGGGACTGGTCAGTCCGACTATAATATCTCATCAAGGCCATCATCCTTTATTAAAAGGGGAAAAAAAAAAAAAAAAAAAAAAAAAAAACACCTCTAAATGTAATCGTAGTAGTCCGACTAGTCGAGCATTACCTTAGGAATTTCCCCCGGTTTGGTGGCCAGTCGTCACAACCTCGGGTGTCAAAGTCATCCCTCCGCACTTTTTTCGCAGGTTTGCTACTTGTGTTCCCTGCCACATCGCCTCTCTGCCTCTTCTTCTCTCCTGTTTCATCATTACTCTGGTTCGATGTGCGTCGACGACTGGATCCGATGCCAGATCGGTACCGCACTCTGATGGTTTTCGGCCGCGTTGGTTGCGAATGATCGATATCAACAGTATCAGTTACCAAAAAAGGAAGTTTCTCTTTAAAGAACTTGTGAATCCTCTGTGGTCCCCACGCGAGAACGACAAGCACAACACAACAGCATCGAAAGAACTATCACTCACAACATCATCCACCCAGGCACATTTCTCTCTCACTCACTTGTCAGGCCTGCCTGCGGACCAACCGAAAGCAGCTCTTTTTTTTTCCCCCCAGAAAATTCCGATTTCTGGCAAAAAGTGACGAGATATCTGAGCCTTGGTTTACCCTGTGCTTCTCTTTGCATGCCCATCTTACCGCAACCCTCACCTTCCCTCCTCAACACACACACACACACACACACACACGCGCGCGCGCGCACACAGACATGACAACAAGAGCATGCATTGGTAAGTGCAACACACCATCTCTCTCTCTCTCTCTCTCTCTCTCTCTCTCTCTCTCTCTCTCTCTCTCTCTCTCTCTCTCTCTCTCTCTCTCTCTCTCTCTCTC